ACACACACACACACATTGATTTGCTTCATGTTTTGACTACTGCTACTGTATGGCCAGCTGCAAAGCTGGTAAGAGAGATGTCTCAGTTGACGTTCCTGTGTAGTATGGGGCTAGCCCAACCGAGGTGATATAATGTATAGGCCAGGTGGGTTCAGGGCCTTTCATCTTTCATCTGCCTGTGTGCAGGTTGGAGGTGCAAGATACCTGAGCGTGTAATAATTTTACCTGTGAATTTGAATAAATCAGCACTGTTTTGAAGTTACTTGGACTGCCTCGTCTCTTAGAGTTAGCAATGGTAAGAAGAACCAAAGACCCACACTATGTAGGAATTAAGAGGTATAGGTATTCCTCCCCTTTTAGGGCGCTGTCCATGACCATTGGAGCAGAGAGGACGATTGGAGGACGGACGGACTGAAGGACCAATATCGGGAGAGTTAAGTTTAAACCACGACTTCTCCCCAACAGTTTTTAACCAATCAGATAGTAACATCTTTTCATACAAATATTGTATACCGGCAAGTTGAGGATAGTCTTTCCTGTTTATCCTAAACAGGGAAGATCCATGTGCACATGTTTATTTTGATACGTTAATGCATAATAAATTTCACATAGTGAAATATATCTTTTTGTTAGTCTTCTCTTTTCAAAATAAAAGAACTTTCATCACAGTCACCAGCCCAACAGATAAGCAGCACATTGCTGCTGTGTCAGGTTTAGAAGTGGCACTTGGGCATGATCCAATCAAATTTAATGGGCTGGACCTTGTCTGGGCAAAAGTATTCAGACCTTTTCTGAACACTCAGTACAAGTCAAAGGAGCTGAGAGACAGGTGAGTCACTCATTAATTATACAGAACTAAATGCTAGAGAAACTCATCATGACATTCTGAAAATTATGCATGATTAAAATAATATTTTAATAAACATCCAGTTTATTTTATTCTGAAAGGGTCAAGCCATATTATAATGACATTCTCTCACCATTTGATCAGGGTCCCTTTACCTCAGAACATACAGTAATTGTTAGGAGAGCTGGGCTGAGCTGCGTAGGTGGGGTCACTCCTGGGCTGGTCGACGGTGATGGTGGTTACTGAAGGTGGAGACAGAGAGATGAAGGCAATAGTGGAAAAAGATAGGCGACTGTGCATTGACCTGCCTGGGAGGGGAGAGTGGAGCCACGGTCTGGAGGAACAGTCCTTCGGGGAAACACAAAACAGTAGCTGGCTAGGGGATAAATACATACAAAAAACAATGACAACGTATGGAGTAAGGTTGGCCTAGTGACTAGAAAGAACTGGCAAGTGACTGAGGAGTGAAACCGGGTAATATAGTGAGTAACCTAATCAAGTGCAGCTGGTGATAAGGGAGTGAGGAACAGGTGAACGTGATAAGAGTAATGGGGCAAGAGACAGTAGGAAAGGTGAGGGAGGCCAGAGCGGCCGAGCAAACCTGACAGTAATAAGCAGTTCAACTGAGAACAACTGCAATAAACTCATAATATTTCCCTGCTCTATTTTTTTCCATGTTCTCTCCTGTTTTAAGCCACAAAGAATTATGCTAAAGTCTAACTGAGAGAAGTTTGGAACACTTTAACATTTTAAATAACTTAAATACTATAAAGAGAGAGAGAGAGAGATGACTTCGTTGTTTTGTTAGGTATTTTTGGTCAGATAAATATTGGATAGATACTTTATGTATTAGAAATGTTTAGTGGAGATAGGATGTCTAGTTAGACTGTTAAATGCTTAGTCATGCTTATGAGTTTCTACAGGGTACATCTGGTCAAGGATACTAGAGAGAAGAGTTGATGACTGTCAGCAGACAGGGTGTTTAATATTATTATTATGACGTGTATAACTGTAGCCTTAGCCATAATATGTTCTTATGTTTAAGTCACGACATGTTACTAGAGGTCGTGGGAGAATGTTTTTAGCTACACACCACTTAATCAACAGACACACACATTCACACGTTGATTTGCTTCATGTTTTGACTACTGCTATGACCAGCTGCAAAGCTGGTAAGAGAGATGTCTCGGTTGACGTTTCTGTGTAGTATGGGGCTAGCCCAACCGAGGGGATATAATGTATAGGCCTGGTGGGTTCAGGGTCTTTCATCTTACATCTGCCTGCGTGCAGGATGGAGGTGCAAGATACCTGAGCGTGTAATGTTAATTTTACCTGTGATCCTTTGAATAAATCAGCACTGTTTAGAAGTTACTTGGACTGTCTTGTCTCTCAGAGTTAGCAATGGTAAGAAGAACCAAAATAGTTCAACAGTTCTCTGGAAACTTGCTCAGCAGTAAATGTGATTCTTGGCCGGATGAACTTTGATTAACAGATTAATTATATTTCGACTGAAGTAGCCCTTTTGTGCTGTGGAGAATCACTGTTTAAATTATTGACACAAAAAACTGTTATTTAGGATGTGTTTCACTACAAATTTGGGCAAATTCTAGAAACCAGTGAACTTTATTGTGGTTGTGACAATAAGTTGTTGCTTCTCTTCTTGACACACACACATAGAGGTATTGTATTTCTATTTCTATCCTTGTTAGGGCCCTTATTGACATAATGCATTCCCTAGCTCCTTAACAGTCAGAAATGCCTAACTCAAACCTAAATGTAATTCTAACCTGAACCTTAAAACCGTCTTAACTCCCACAAAGCCCTTTGAACTTGAATCCGCACAAGTGACTTCCGGTCCCCACGAAGATAGTAATTCCTGGATTTTTAGAACTGTAGTACAGAATAGAATAATAAGGTAACTGGCTATATAGTCACTATTGGCTTGTGGCCGGACGACGTGGTGAAAAGCTTTATTGTAGTTTCTGGTTTTTACTTTACCTTTAATTTTGACGTAACCTTAATTTTCAACTTCACCCAGGTTAATTTTTTTCTTGGTGCGTTATGGAGACTTGTGTACACCGGGAGCGGCTGGGATGAACAGGTTTATTCCAGTTAAGAGGAGTCATCCTCCATGTGGACCCAGAGAGGTCTCTCTTTCTC